GATATCATGTTTGTACAAGTGCTCTGAAAACCATAAAACCCCACATAAATGTAATATCACTAGCAAACAATCTTTGACAATCCTTTCAGAGAAACAATTACATTATACTTTTTTCTTTTGTTTGTAGAGGAGGGAACTTATCAACTAGCACTATTTGACCATATGGCAACACAATCCATAGTTATTTCTTCGTGGAAGAGATGACTTAGAAGTTTTCCTTGTTGAAAATGAAGTGCACTCCCCGAGGGCCAGAATCAGAGTTGGAGATGCTTTGTTTATTGAGGGTTTTGGCCAAGGCTTCAGGTCCACAGAGGAAAACTCCTATTCTGGTACTTCAGGGAAAGGAAAAAAAAGACAGTTTCAGGCTTTGGGATGAGAGAGACAACAAAAGTGGGGGTAAAGGAAATGCAAATCAAAACCACACTAAGATTCCGCCTCACTCCTGTTAGAATAGCTGTCATCAGCAACACCACCAACAACAAATGTTGGCAAGGATGTGGGGAAACAGGATCCCACATGCTCTGTTGGTGGGAATGCAAGCTGGTGCAAACCACTCTGGAAAACAATATGGAGGCTTCTTAAAAACTAAACATAGATAATCCCACTCCTAGGGATATACCCAAAGGAATGGGACTCAGGTTATTACAGACGTATCTGCACACCCATGTTTATTGCAGCACTCTTCACAATAGCCAAGTTATGGAAACAGCCAAGATGCCCCACTACTGACGAATGCATTAAGAAAATGTGCTATTTATACACAATGGAATTTTACTCAGCCACAAAGAAGAATGAAATTTTATCATTTGCAAGTAAATGGATGAAACTGGAGAATATCATCTTAAGTGAAGTTACCCAGGCTCACAAGGCTAAAAATCTCATGTTCTCCCTCATACGCGGATTATAGACCTAAAACAAATGCAGTAATATTATTGGACATGGGTCACACACTAAGGGGAGAACACGCACAGGAGAAATAGGGAAAGGGCAGGAAACCTAAAACTTGAATGTGGTTGATGTGCTCACTGTAGAGGAGCGAATATGGTAATCTTAAACTGTCAGAGGCCACTGTGGGAAGGGGACGAGGAAGTAGTGAAGGGGTCTGGCAGAGATGAACCAATGTGGGTTGTAATACACATGTGCATGGAAGCAACACTAGGAATCTCTCTGTATAGCTATCTTTATCTCAGACTAGCAAAAACACTATGCCTTTTTTATTATCTCTTATGTTTTCTCTTCAACAAAACTGGAGAACAAGAGGGTTCTGCCTGGAAGGCGGCGGTGGGGGCGGGGGGTCGGTGTTGGCCAAACAATGTATACACATGTGAGTAAATGCAAAAATGATAAAATTTTAAAAAGTAGGTGGGGGAATTTCTTATTGATTAGAGGTCCCCAGGGCCAAGTACCCTCTGTCCCTTTGTCTTTTCCACAAAGACAAAATGGCAAAAAATTCAGATTACGTTGCAGAAGGGGACCTCAGTTCCAATTGTGTGGACATCTGGATAATTCAAAAGACAGTTGACTTCCCTAAAAATGCAATACAAGCAGAATAATTTGTGAATCTGTGGACTACTTCCCTTTAAGGCTCTGTGCCTTCAAACCCTTCCCGGTATCTTGAAATCAGGATCAAACCTTTCTTAGACACCCAAATTCTGGCAGCAGCATCACGTGCCTTCATTCCTCTAAATCTTAAAGTTGAGAGCCTTACTCTTCAAGTTGTGGTCTCAGACCGGTAGCCTTGGCAAAAGCTTTTTAAAGAAAGCAGATTCATGTCTGTAATCCTAGCTACTTTGGAGGCTAAAATGGGGAGGATTGTGGTTCAAGGACGGCCCAGGCAAATAGTTTGTGAGACCCTCATCTCCAAAATAACCAGAGCAAAATGGACTAGAAGTGTGGCTTAAGCAGTAGAGCACCTGCTTTGCAAGCACAAAGCTCTGAGTTCAAATCCCATTCCCACAAAAAAGAATGCAGTTTCCTGGGCCCCCCTCCAGACCTAGTAAGTAAGAATCTGTATTTAAAAATATAGCCAGGTGATTTGTATTATCATTAAAGTGAGAAGAGATGATATTTATACATCATGAGTTTCTTATGTGTCCTAGCAGAATAGGGGATCTCCTCAAGGTTTCATGATGGCTAGAGCTGTAGTGAGCACAGAAAGGACTTTGAGACATTTGTCAATTTACAATTTTAGACTCAGAAGCTAGAACTGAAAGGGAGGGCAGAATTCCCTTACTAATCAGTTGAAGTCATACTATTTAAAAGAAGCAGATACACAAGTGAAGTTTAAGCAACTAAGAAAAGAACCAAGCTATAGCCTCACTTGGGACAAATGGTTTAGAAAGCCTAAGGCAAAGACCTGAGAATCTTTGTTTTTTATAACTGTCCAGATAATTTTGCTGTGATTTAAAGATTCTTTCTTAAATTCAAAGATATCTGGAATCTTCTATTGGGCATGAATTTAGCCCTGTGATAGTAATAGGTATATCTTAATTTCTAAAATATAGAAGTCTAGCCATGCTTGGGATGTGCTGCTTCAGATAGAACACAAGCCTCAACAACACCTTGGTGGGGAATCCTTACTTAGGGTGTTGACTTGCAATTGTCTTGAACTCATTATCCCAGTTGGGCCGTCCATACAAAGTCTTCTGTTTCAGGCCTGTGATTACATCTTTCTCTTCATCATGGTGCACAGCAAAGTGATTAGCCTGCAGAGAAATACATGAATTCAGAAAAAAGAGACATACTATATTTACATATTTCACAAACCAAACTTTTACCATCCATTCTAACCAAGGGGGTTAGGGCAAGGCACCATGCTGGAGGCTAGAAGGTAAACAAAGATAAACAAAAGGCATCTCTCTCAAGCCATTTTCACTCTGGAAGATGAGACCTTGAAGTATAAGTGTAAATAATCCTATTTATAGAATGGTGTGATGAATTGCCACAGAAAAGGCCCAAGCACCCTAACGAGAACAAAGTAGGAAGGGAGAGAGAGAGAGAGAGAGAGAGAAGAGGTTGAATTTTCCCCATTACCCATGGTGAGTCTCATCCATCTGGTTGGAGACCCACTGGTGGGAGCATTGCTCTAATGTCAAAGTCATGGCCTTTATTCCCTCATAAACTCCTTAGCTTTGAATCTAGCATGAATTGTTCAAACAACATGTGGTGATTTTAAACAAGAGTGAATGGGCTGAATCACTTGACTCCTTTAACTGCCCTTGGAAAAAACAGTACATGGAGCACACCAATATCTGAGGAGAAGTCAGCAAGCTCTGGACACATTTGGGAAGGACCTGAGACCTGAACCCTGGTCCTCACCTGAGACTCATCCCAGCCAGTGAGGTAAATGTTGTAGCTGAGGAAGTCGGCATTGTTCCTCTCCTGCATCTGGGTCTCCAGAAGCTGCAGCAGATCTGCAAACCACTCAAAGGCATGTGTGTCCCGGCACAGCCAGTAGAAGTAGATCTGAGAAAGGGATGGACCACAAAGCAGATTACATAGGGAGAGGCTCGATCAGCATTAACAAACGGATTTCTTCTGTTCCATAAACTTTTTTCTGGTGCTCAGAATGCCCAGAAACAGATTTTCAGAAAGCTCAGCATTTCACAGGTTAATTCACGCAAACCTGCTCTGGCCTTCACACTGACGGGGCAGTAAATAAATGGCTTGACTACACAGATGCATAACTTAAAAAAAAATTTAAAAAGAACTGCCGGCCCACCAACTTTTCCTCTGGGCTTGCTCTTTCTCTCCCAGAATCCTTGGCTTTCTTTGCACCCCCTCTCAGAAAGGCCAAAGGAATCCAGACTAACAGTGGCCCCAGCAGGACTTCTTCCATGCCTGCAACTTCCAGACATTCATGAGTTCAGGGAAAAAATAATTCTGCTCACACCTCCTCCACATAGAAAAGAGGTAAAGGGGGAGAATGAAAAGTCAAGGTAGGATCAGTGTTCCTACTAGAATTTATCTTTTTTTTAAAGCAGTACTGGGGTTTGAACTCTAGGCTAGGCAAGTACTCTACCACATGAGCCACTCCACCAGCCCTTTTCTGTGTTGGGTTTTATTCGAGATCGGGTCTCACGAATTATTTGCCAAGGCTGGCTTCAAACTGGGATCTTCCTGATCTCTGCCTCCTGAGTATATAGGATTACACGCATGAGCCACTGGGGCCCAGCTTAAAATTTCTCTTAATAGTTACTAGAATGACTCAAGGTTTGTGGAAGATGGTTCTTCATCAGGTAATTTAGTTTTTTGGGAATTTTTCCTGAGAAGACATTCATAAGAAAGTACAAAGTTTCATGTTTCCAGCTCTCTCCCCACCAAAAATGTATTGAAGAGCTGAAACCTAAATCAGTATCAATGTACAATATAGGATAATAAGAAAAATTATTCTATCTTCTCAATAGAATATGAAAGAACCATTAAAAATCATCATCATGAAGCCTGTGAGGACACTAAAAATATTTACTATCTTTTTAAAAAAGATCAGGGCTGGTGGTATAGCTCAGTGGCTGAGTACTTGCCCAGCATGCACAATGCCCTGCGTTCCATCCCTGGCAATAAAAAAAAAAAAAGAGAAACGTACAAAAACAGGATAAGGAATTGTACATATTCAAAATTTATAAATTTCTAAAAATATGTAAGCCTGTATGTGGAGGAATTAGAAAAGAATATGTAAGGAATGTAGCTGACTGGTAGAAGGCTTGCCTAGAATATGCAAGGCTTTGGGTTCCATTCCTGGCACTGCAAATAAAATATACAAAAAACATAGTTCTTGGATTGGGGTTGTGAATACCTTCTTCTCCAACTTTCTTTCTTCTAGATTTCCAATAACATTACACAAACACAGTATATTACTTTCAGAAATAGGCCCATTTAATTTTTAACTTATCAGATAGTCCTTTGAAGAGAAGTTTGCCTCTCTGGAACAACCAAAGCTTTTCTTCACTTCCCAGAGTTTCTGCCTGCCTCAGCCCTCAGGGCACTTTTAAACTGCACTTGACAGAGAGTGATGACCACTCCAAGCCCTCCAAAAATCATGAAAGGAACTTACCTTCTTGAGCTTCAGGTTGGTGGCATTGTTGCAATATTTGTACCAGACTGACTTAAGAATGGATGCAAAGGGTGTGACCCCAATCCCTGCTCCCACTAGCATCACCACCTCATAGCTGAACACATCTTCACTGGCCGTGCCAAAGGGCCCATCAACCGCTATCCTGAGTGGAAGTGGGGGAGGAGATGGTTACAGAGATAGTCAGCTCTTCATGTAAGATGGAACACCCATTATTATTGGAGATGTGCAATGTGTCGATGCTAACGAGGGCAATGAATCAATAGGGCACTTTCTTCTAGGAAATGGCTTTTGGGTAACCAACTTAGTGCCAATATTGGGGTTGAAAGTGAGAAGAGGAATGTTTAGCTAACTGAAACCATTTGGTAACTCACCATGGCTATTTTTCATCTCTTCCTTTCCTTCTTTAAATGCCCCCCCCCGCCTCACACACACTCACACACACATGTCTGTCTCTTCCCAGGGCATCCTACTCTTGAAGCTCCAACTTACATTGCATATTGAAGTGAACATTTTTTTACAACATCTTGTAAATTTAATATCCTTACTTTCATTTGTTAGTCAACAAACTTTTTTCTTCAGCATCTTTTAAGTGCCGAATACTCTGTTGGGCATGTGGGGAGAAGGATGGCAAATGGCCTATGGCATTTATCCTCAACCAAATGATGCCAATTAAAATTTAAGAATATCTCTAATATACTACAATTTTGTTTGTTAGAAATGTTAATATCACTTGACCTTGACCCCCACATATTTAAAGAAATTTGAGAGTGTCCATTACTAATATTTGATCCAAATGTTTTGATTTCCACATAAGGTTTATGAAACATATGCATTAACACACCACACGCATACAATAGGGAACAGAGAAAGGTATCTATATTCTTAGAGCCACTGTGTTTGTCAGAGACTCAGGAGATACTATAGTGAGAGGAGCTGTTTAGCACCATTTTCCCTAAAGTCATACACATTTGTAGTATGCGCTTGCACTCACTTAGGCAGTTTCCAGGCATCTTGAAACTCTTTCTTATCACAGCCACAAGCATTGAATAGCCCCTCCGTCCAGTCTCCAACGATGCGGATATGGATGCTAAAGAAGTCTTCTTCAGGGGCAGAGGTCAATGTGAAAGGGTGCCACTCCAGCTTAGACACCTTGGGGCACTTGACAAAAATGTACTGTCCCACTTCCATCTTGAATCCTTTCTTCTTCATCTGTAGCTCAATGGTTTTGAAGGGGTGAGTGACCACCTGTAGAATAAAACACGTCTCTAGAAATGACATTTTCCTCAAACATTTGCCTTTTAGATTGAACCAAGATGTCCCACACATGTCTCCATTTCAGGACCAACACAGTAGACCCTGCAGCAGATGTGTCTGTCATTGGGATTTGCCCTCAGCCTGTAGCCTATAGCCAATGATGGAGTGATGAAAGGATACAAATTCCTGGTATTCTCTCTTTAATTTGGGACAATTCCAAGGTGCCACCCCAACCCCAGCACTTGCTGTAGGATCAGCTGAGGTTGCAGCTGCAACTACATTGTAGGTTAAGGTCGGTTATTCCCTCTTCCGTATCCTGCCTTTCTTACTTTTTTTTTTAATGGTGTTTTGCTATGTAGCTCAGGCTGACCTCGAACTTGTGATCCTCCTACCTTAGCCTCTTGAATGCTTGGGATTACAGGTGTGTACCGCTATGCCTGGCTTTACTTTACTTTTTTTTTTTTAATAAATTCAGCTCCTGGGAACATGCCCCATAAGCCTTCTACATGCAGTTTTTTTCATTTAAGAGTCTTTACCGAGGAATCCAACCTAAGTTATCAGCCTATTGTGATTTTTTTTTCTCTCAGAAGACAAAGAAGGTGCAAAAAATAGGAAATCAGTAATTTCCTCCTCATCCTTCTTATCTCTCCAAAGTATAAGAGGGGACCTTTGTAGCTGAACAGAAGGAGATCCTGAGGAAAAAGGAGATCATATTGGCTAGTTATATAGTAACAGTCCCCAAACCAAGATAGTATGCTGTCCTTCCTTGTCCTAAATCATACCTCAAACTCATCCAATTCCATGTATTGTTTCTACATTTCTCCCTACTTGAGAACACACCATCCATCTTTCCCCAAGCCAGGTAGTATCTTTCCATTGCCATTTTCATTCTCATATACCCAGATGTTCCAAGCAGTTTTATTCATGATAGCAAAAAAGGAAACAATCCAAATGTCCATCAGCTAAGAAGTGGATAATATATTAAAAATAGAGCACAATAAAGAAGAATACAGAAAAGTAATATACTATTTCTTGTCAAAGAGACATCTGCACTCCTGTGTTTGTTGCAACACTACTCACAATAGCCAAGATATAGCATTAACTTAAGTGTCCATCAACAGATGAATGCATAAAGAAACTGTGGTACATACACACAATGAAATACTATTCCACTTTAAGAGGTAAAATCCTGCCATTTGCAACAATGTATACGAACCCAGATGACATTGTTAAGTGCAATACATTGGGCACAAAAAGCCAAATTCTGCATAATCCCATTCATATGTGGAATCTTAAAAACATTGATCTCATAGAAGTTGAGAGTCAACGGTGGTTACCAGAGGGTGGGGAGAGTTAGGTGGAAGGAGAGCTGGGGAAAGGTTGATTAATAGATACTGAGCTGCAGTTAGATAAGAGTAAGATGTTCTGGTGTTCTGTTGTGGTTGGGTGACTATGGATAACAATTATGGATTGTATATTTCCACACTACTAGAAGAGATGATTTTCAGTGTTCTCACAACATTAAAATAATAATGAGCCTTTACATGATCATTACACAAGGTATAATGTATCAAGACACTACATTGTATCTTGTAAATCTGTATAATTATGCATCAACTAAAAATGAAATAAAACTTGAAAAAAGGAAGTAATATACTGTTTCTTTGATGATTCTTAAATGTCTAGAACTTTAAATATATAACTAAAGACATACCAAGGGACATCAAAGGAAAGAAAAACCTATAGAAACAAAATAGCAGCTTTTTAATGCTCACTGATATTTCTGGGCTTTTCTTTTCATGAGAGGAGATCTGTGGAAGAATGGGAAGTCTTTTTAATAAAAATTGTTGACTGGGAGTGTAGCTCAGTGGAAAAGTGCGTGTGTAGCATGCACGAGAACTGGGCTTGACCCCTGGCACCACCAAAAAATTGTCAAACATTTCCAAACCTCCTGATTTAAATGTGTGTTATAAAGTTGTGGTCAACTTCCCCTCTGCTCTGAGATTAGGAGTTGGAAACCATCGTTTTGAAAATTGTTTACCATGTTGCAATTTTGTGTGGTGAAACCATTTTTCCCATATTGCAATTTTGCAACCACAGGCACAAAGAGGATTTAACTGAATAAGATGCACTAGTGGGCAGCATTCCCACTGGAATATTTTTGGATGACATCTTGCTTCTTATATTTGTTTGTATGAGAAGAAATTGAATATCAATTTTCTTCTCAAGAAAAAAAAATTTTCCCTTAGAAGTATATTTAAGATAAATATTTGGCTGACTTAGTCATCTCCTGTCTAGTGAGGGGGAAACTTCAGCAGCTCATTTTGCTGATCTGTGGAGTTTTTCTCATAATACAATATAAATAGCATAAAAGGAGAACTGGTGTGGCTTTCTATAGTGCAAAACTGCCAATGCCATCAGGACTGGCTTCACTATGGCCTCCATAGACATCAACTGAAAAAAAAAAACTAGCATGGAACAAGGGAAGGATTTTGGTAAATACTGACTTGAATGGAATTAAATTTTATTTGACAAAAAATAATCTTGCCTGGTGTTTTCTGAAAATATAGCAAAGAGTTTCCATTTGGATATATTTCATTGAATATTTATCTATTTATTTTGTACTGGAAAAAATAGTGTGTGGGGGAACCATTTTAGACTTGAAGTTGGGAGACCAAATTTGAGGTGCAGCTTAGCTACTTTGGGCACTTCAGCACAGAAAAGACAGCTAGAAAACTTTTTCAACTTCAATCAGACCTATTCTTGGTTACTTGGTTCTTTTGGCATGTAAGAATTTTGACTCACCCATTCTCCTCCAGTAATAAGTAACCATATAATGCCTCTATAACCTTTCCCTACACACACACACACACACACACACACACACACACACACACGGTGGTGGGGGGAGTAAAGAGAGAGCGAGTGAGAGAGAACATGATTTCACTTTAACAAGGAAAGTGGTACCTTCTATACTTGATCTTAGCCAAAAGACCAAGACCAAACTGTGATAGAAAGTAGTACCTTCTAGTGTCCCTGATTACAGACCCAATCATTTCATTATTTTTTTTTCTTTTATTATTCATATGTGCATACAAGGCTTGGTTCATTTCTCCCCCGTGCCCCCACCCCCTCCCTTACCACCCACTCCGCCCCCTCCCTCTCCCCCCCTCAATACCCAGCAGAAACTATTTTGCCCTTATTTCTAATTTTGTTGTAGAGAGAGTATAAGCAATAATAGGAAGGAACAAGGGTTTTTGCTGGTTGAGATAAGGATAGCTATACAGGGCATTGACTCACATTGATTTCCTGTGCGTGGGTGTTACCTTCTAGGTTAATTCTTTTTGATCTAACCTTTTCTCTAGTACCTGTTCCCCTTTTCCTATTGGCCTCAGTTGCTTTAAGGTATCTGCTTTAGTTTCTCTGCGTTAAGGGCAACAAATGCTAGCTAGTTTTTTAGGTGTCTTACCTATCCTCACCCCTCCCTTGTGTGCTCTCGCTTTTATCACAATCATTTCATTATTGAGCTAAGTACATTGAATAAACTTAGATCTTTTGTCTGTTTTAAGTTTAATTGAAAGAAACTGAATAAAAGATGGTTCTGACCAATGACAGAGAACTTGGAGAGACTTATCCTTGCTATGCTTAGACACTGACCACCAGTGATTTCTAAATCAACCAATACCTTGGTGATGACCACCTTCTGTTGAGATCGCCAAAACCGGACCAACCTCTCACAGAGATACAGGAACATGGGGCCTATTATCCATTTCCAAGTCTATAATCAGAGAGCAAAAATTAAAATGAGATATGTCAAAGGGTGGTAGCTAATAAAATATCCAGAAGGAGAAAAAAAATTTACATGTAAGATTAATCTTAGCACACTTGTTTAAATATTTGATATTGGTTAAGTAAATTTCTTACAGAACAGAGTATATGAAAAATATATGAAATTATGATAAATTGTTGAGCCAGTAAAAATAAATATTCTCCTTAGCCACATTGGGGAACTGTATCTACAGTATAAAACTTTCCAAAGAGGAACTGCCTACAAGAATGAGATTTCCTCTTAGTGTCACAACTACAGTTGCAATAGCCCTACCATGCCAAGGTTGCTTTCAGAATTAACATGTCTCTAAGGGACAGCCTTTCAGCAACATGATAATTTTACTGCAACATTGCAATTGCTTTCTCTTAGCTATGGAGTCAGAGATTAAACTTTTGCAAGATGATAAATTTTGTGCAAGAGTTTAGCTATTTCTTCAATATTCTGGTAAGTTCTAAGAGCTGTGCAATGCATTTGCTGAATGGGGACAAACTCAAAGATTTTTAGAGTTCAGTAGCTAATTTTCCCATCAGAACACTGGAATTACCTGTAGCATTGTGGCTATTAACAAAACCATTTAAGCCAAACAGATTCACCCTGGGACTAGGCCAGAACTTGGATTCCTAGTTTAATATATGAAGTAACAAAAAATTTTAGATGGCAATACCATCTAAAATATTACTTTCTAGAACATTTTCCAAGGAGAAAAAAATTCAAGGAGTGCTTCCCATAGTTTCACCTATGATCTTTCTGTTAAAGTATACATTTTTGGAAACTTACTGTTGGAAATTGAGAACTCTTCAATGTCCACATCTCTAACCAAAATTCAATAATAACTGCACCAGAGGTCAGGAATATCCTGTTGCTGAACTTAGTGTTCATGAGACAGGTATTTGAAATAGTCTCACATCATCCGTTTTCTGGGTGTCACTATAGGGTTCCATTGAATGGAGCCAGATTTGAACATTGTCCCTAATATCCACAGAAACCTAGACATTCCTTTGAGGTAGATGCCTGTAAACATAGTTGTATTCTAATGCTGTCATTGAGGAAATGTGCCTTCCCCAGCCCATGGGGGGACCGACAATATGGTTCCCTTTTTATCCTTTCTACTAATATCTGCATGTAGTGGGGGCAATCCACTAATTTGTCTGGTTGCTTTCATTAATGAACAAGGATGCTCAAAGATGTTAAATCTTCATAGCATGATATATCTAGAGGAAGAGCACTTCCATGCCAAGAGAGTAGGAAGAAAGAAAGATGAAAACAGGATGGGAAATTTACCTTTGTGTTACACCATACTTAAGGAAAAAACAATCCCATTAAGATGCTTCACACAAATGCTGTTATTTTTTTCTTTAGCTTTATACCAATAGCTAGTACAATAATCAATAAAGTATACTATATGCCAACAGAGGAAAAAATATGAAGATTTGGGGGCTCACTTCTCACTTTCTGGAGCAGAAATATTGAAAATACACAAAATGGGACCCTTAAGAACTTCCTATAGGAGAAAGAAAGTATATCACCATGTTTCCCTTTAATCACCCTTGTCACATTCCCACCCCATCACAATGTGCCATTGGTTATTTGTGTGACCCTGTCTATTCAGATGTGATGGACTGGATCTTCCAATGGCTAAAGACAGCACAGTGTGCCACTTCACTAGTTTTCTTCCCAGTCCTGAAAGCCATATATCCTTATTTCCTGGCATCCTGAGAAGCCCCTAGCTTCTTACATGTGATTATTTGAGCTGTCCAACTCAACTTAGGATAGAATTACTAGGTATTCCTGTGAAAATCATTAATTAGTGTTACTGTGGTCCTCACATCCAGAAGAAAAAAGATCGAACCTCTTGAATACAAACAGCAATTTTAAAAATACACTATTCCAAGCTGGGAGCTGGTGACTCAGAGATCTGAAGGATAATGGTTTGAAGCCAGCCCCAGCAAATAATTCATGAGATCCTATCTCGAAGAAAACATTACAAAAAAGGACTGGTGGAGTGGCTCAAGGTGTAGGCCCTGAGTTCAAGGTCTAGTACCACAAAAAAAAAGAAAAACACTTTTCCAAGTTCACTGTCAAGACATTGACAACAGACCAATGCAAAGATTATTTTTCTTTCTTTCTTTCTTTCTTTCTTTCTTTCTTTCTTTCTTTCTTTCTTTCTTTCTTTCTTTCTTTTTCTTTCCTTCCTTCTTTCTTTCTTTCTTTCTTTCTTTTTTCTCTCTTCTTCTTCTTCTTCTTCTTCTTCTTCTTCTTCTTTTTTTTTTTTTTTTTTGGCTGCACTGGCGTTTGAACTCAGGGCCTCACATTTGCTAGGCAGGCATCACTTGAACCAGTTTGCCAGCTCCTTATTTTTCAAGAAATTATTCTAACCAAAAATATAGTAAAGTAGACAATCACAGCATCCTAGAAGTTCTATGACATTTATACATGTTTTTAGACACATTTAAAGATTGCCAGTAATAAAACTATAATAGCAGCAATAAACTTTACATACCATTGGAGGATTCCCAGAGAACTTTGGTACTGGACAGTGGTCTATTTTTCCCCATTGTGAGATACTTTGATTACATAGTTCTATTGAGTGTTTTGCCATACTCTCTGCAGTCTGCCCACGTACAATTTTTCTGGGAAAAAAAAAATGTAAGTCTAGACTATTTAGTAACAAGAAACTAAGCTGTTCATGTTTTTTAGCTTCTCAGCATTTGTTTTGTGGTGGTGGGGATAGAACCCAGAGCCTTATGTGTGCTAGTCAAGCACTCTTCCACTGAGCTATACCATGAACCCTGATTCTAGCCATATTTTAAGTACCCTAAAATGGATCTTTTACTGTTCACTTCAAGTATTTATCTTATCACCCCTCTCTGAATAAATTAGTGGAAAGGAAAGAAGCTACATGATCATGAGCAACAGGAAAAAACTGCAATGGCATGAAGAATAGCTGCACTAGGCTGAGTGTGATGGCTCAAGCCTATAATTCTAGCTAATTCTGGGCAGAAATCGGGAGGATGGCAGTTCAAAGCCAACCTGGGCAAAATGTTTGTGAGACTCCTATCTCAACCAATGACTGGGCACAGTGGTGTGTGCCTGTCATCCCACCTATGTGAGAAAGCACAAATAGGAGAACTGAGGTCCAGGCTGGCCCAGGCATAAATGAGAGATCCTAACTCAAAAATAAGCAATGTGAAAAGGCCTGGCAGAGTGCCTTAAGTGGTAGCACTCTTGCCTAGCAAGCACAAGGTCCTGAGTTCAACCCTCAGTACCACCACCAAAATAATATAATAATAATAATAGCTACACCAACATTATAGAGGGTAAGTCTTGGCTCATTGATATATGTTTTCTTGAAGGGAGATTATGCACTTCTCTCTCAAGTAACATTTTTGTTTATAAACAAACACAACAAAACCAGAAAAACAAAATCTATCAGACTGATGGCTAGCCCATAGAGCACCTTTGTGCAAATTAGAAAAAGGCTACCTTTCTTTGAGGACAATCCTGCAGGCGAAGGGCTGAGCCAGCAGGGAGCAGGCTATCTTTCCTCTCCCTGGCCAGGCACCTCTGAATAGTGGACAACACACGCAGTCATACACAATGGCCCTGCACACCTAGCAGAAGTGTTTTCTTTGTAGGCTCAAAAATTGTCTAGGGTAGGTGTGGTGGCTCATGCCTATAATATCAGCACTTGGGAGGCTAAACAAGGAAGATCATGAGTTTGAGGCCAGCCTGAGTTATACAGCATGTAAGCAGTCAGCCTGGGCTACACAGCAAGAGCTTGCTCCCCCAAAATTGTTTAAATTAAGCCAAGAGTCTGAAATATGTTTGAGAAGACTTAACCCTATGGGTATCATGTCATTTTTTACAGATATAAGCACAAAGAGTATTTACCTTGAAGAGCTTACAGCTCATTCACTTCAATTCAATCAATATTAACTGAGCAACTACTAAAATATAAGACAATTCTGGGCTAGTGATGATCAAAAGATTGAGACACAAAGTTAAGTAAGTCATGTCCTTGACTTGAAGGAACATAAAGAAAGGTGCCTTCAAAATAATAATAGTAACAAAAGTCCTTTGTAAATGTTTGTTTTGGAGGCCTCAAATTTATCATGCCATTAGGTATATTCTGAGTATGTTTTAATTCAAGGTTATTAATCACCCCTTTCTAGTCCTAGGTCATGGGGGAGAGAAGTATGTGTATTGAGTACAAGTCTACTATGGCTAGACTTGAGGAAAAGCGCCATTCACCAATTATCTCAGTTAATCCTCATAACAAGCCGGAGAGACAAGAATCATTACTCCCATTTTACATGAAGGTAATAACTCAAAGCAGATGGTTGGTGAAAACAATACTTTTCAAGCCTTGGATTCAAATCTCAGTTCCACCCTTTAGTAGTTTGATGGCCTTTGGGAAATTATTTAACTTCCTTTGAGCCTCAGTTTCTCCAGTTGTAAAACAGGTATAATAGCATCCCATCAAAGATTTGTTTTAGTAATCAATTGGCATGATATATAAAAATGTCAAAGAGGAAACAGGGTTCACAAAATGACAACAATTAAAGCTCTTGATTCCCAAGTTCACATGGGGAGTAAATCCTTTTTTAAAAATCTGATTTTTCCTTCTCAATGTTAGGACCAGAAATCTGGAAACCATAATTTTTATTCTAGTTACCTTGCCATAAGACTATGAGCAATTACCTAACCAGTGTAAGCAGTAGATTCTCCTCAAAAGGAGAACAGGTTAAATAAATCTCCTTTGCTCCAAAGGGACATGGATGTTTATGACACTCTATTAACAGAAAGTGATGGGCTTACTAAACTAGAGAGAGGAGGAAATTCCTCGTGCTCTCTGGGGGCCTCTGGAACAGGTGGATTGTGATTAACTTTCATTTAAAGATATTCAGGTGCTCTAGGAGAGTCAAGAAATTTTCTTCCTTAGGATTTCTCAGTGCTTAGAAAGAGTTTATCAGTGGCCAGAGTCAGGAAACAGGTTAAGAATACATGCAGAAGTTGCTCAAGGCTGCTTCTCCCCACCCTTCCCGTTTTTACTCTCAAGTCTTGGCCACTGCTAGCCTAGCTGAGTTGGCTCTGAGCAGTGTTTTGAGCTTTGAACAGTTACTTTCCCCACCCCTAGTTTCCTGGAACCCTGTACTCACCAGGGAACTTCCCTGGGCTTGATTTGTATGCAGGTGGTATGAAACAGTAGAAAAAGGAAACATGGTATTAAAGAGTAGTCCACCCAAGCATACACCAAGGTTCTATGTATCTCTAGGAGGGTAGTCATACAGTCCATTTTAGAACACCTGTGCCCTAGGTCACTGACCAGCTGGAAGGGGCATGGCCTACAAATGCTACGATTTTTATTTTCAGGTTGCTGGAAATGGGGATAGTGAAAGAGCATCTATACATTTCAGGGATTAAAAGGAAACATTTAAAGTCAAATTCTTAGCACAGACCCTGATGTAGAACAAGTGCTTAATAAAAGTTAGCCATTATCTTTATTATATTAGAATTTTAAGCTCAATATTCATGTATTTTTCCTGCTAGAATTCCCTGCAGTGCCCAAGAGACATCCTCATACACAGTAGGTAATCAATAAATGGTTTGTAGCTTAAATTAAAGCTGGTTGTATGACAGAAAACCCCTTCAACTGATGGGAGTCTGTCTAACTCACTAATGATTAAGCCACAGGAGACAAAGTTGTAGACATCCAAGACCCTACCAGTGTTTTCAGTATGTTTTATAGACTTAGAGATACTCAGACTTTGGTATACAAACGTACGTGTGTGTGTGTGTGTGTGTGTGTGTGTGTTGTAAATGACTGCACTACAAACAGCAGTTAGTTGGGGGCGAGAAACCAACAGTGCTGCTGACAGGGTTCTACTGAATTGACCTCTGCTTTCCTCTCATATTCCCTCAGCAGGCAGGCTGACCACACGCAAGCGAGGAAGTCACTGTGCCTCTACCAGGGCAACAAGTCTAGAAATTGAAGGGCATAAAGACCTTGGCTGTGGAATTAAAAACTCACTCAGCTCCATGGATGGCAAGGCCAATGAAGAAGATCACAAAGAGATGGTGTGTGTACCAAAACACTTCAAAGTAAGACCTCCGGATAGTTTTGGTGGAAGAGGTGATAATTAATATGAGACACAGCGTGATGACAATTCCAGTGATGCCTGCCAGCCGAGTCACAGCCACATATAGGCCCCCTTCAGGGTTCTGTAAAAGAGAAATACGCACAGATATATACATTATTGTAGGCTCTCAAATGCAGGACTTCCCATTTATAATAGTGTTTATGTGTATTTTCCTCTCCCCTTTGAATAAACCTACTCATTCCTTCCAGAGATATCGTTGGAGTACATATTTCTAAATTTTAAAGTATGTTACATGGTTGAGGATTCATAGGAAATATGAATTGATACATTCAGATAACTCCAAGGGAATAGCAAATAAAAGAAATCATCTACCAAAAGATGTCTTCAAAATATCTGAAGCTTTCTCCCTTTGATTTGGAGAGGCCCACAGCCCTTAGGTTGCAAATGTGTTCTGGGAATGTCTACCATCTGAGGTGACCCTGAGGTGAGTATTCATGGGCAAATGATTTAGAAAGAATGTGATCCACAAGAAACTCGTAAGCAAATGAGGAATAGAACAGAGAAAAGACAAAAGCCAAGCAAGGGGATGATCTCAGACAAAGTCTCATAGGGTATAACTTCAGCCTGACCCTGCAGCCTGACCCTGGAGGGAAAGTTATGCCTCAGAGTGTATCCTGACTTGAGGAGAAGAAACCAAACTTTCATGGCCTGCACAGATTAGTTATTAGCTAAGGGATGCCTAGGGAGAGGCATCTTTGCCCATCCAGTCTGTAGGCAAAGGGACACTAGTAGCAGGAGAGCAGTCCTTGGAGAAGGAAACAGGTACACATCACTGAAAACTAAAGCACTCTGGGGAAGCTCAGATACAATAAAAGTGACCCAAAGAAATCGGGGCAGAGCATGACAATGTCAGCTCAACTCATGTTCACATTGCTGCCCTTATAGCACTGGGCAAACAATGAACAATGGAAAGAAAAATTATCTAAGGTATTGTAGAAAAAGAATTTGTTTTGTTTGATGCTATTTAATTCTGTCTCTAAGTAGATTGGGCAAGCTTTTCTTGTGTCAGTTCAAGGATAACAATTTTGGCAAAAGTAAGGGTTTTCTCTTGTGATATTTACAAAACACAAGGAAATGTGTTTGAAATTCAGTGGATAGTAATGTGACTTAACCATCTTCCCAAGCCATTGGGCTTATGAAGATGATTTAGAGCTTCTCTCTCTGAGTGTAAGAAGTTTCAACAGCTCATGGGATGGAAGAAATCCTTTCTTCTGGACACCCTCATGGCTGTCCCTGGAGAATTGCGAAGTTACTGCCGATGCACCAAAGAGTAACAATTCATAGTCACAAGCCACCCCCAGATGTTATAGGTAGGGAAGAACAAAAGCCAGCTGGTGGGTGATCTGACAGTTAGGCTAGGGTGTTCCCTCATTTACACAGGTAACTTCATAGAATACCAACATCAGACAAGATCACTCTGTAACTGTGATGGAATGAGATAAAAACAAGGTTGTTCTGAAATTATGTCTGAACCCGGACAAAACATGGGTGAATACTGCTTCTTTACTTATTAGCCCTGTTCTGTCCTTTCTGCTACCTAGAAAAAAAATAAGATAGCAATCCCAGAACCATCCCTAGTAACTAACCATACGTGATTTAGAGCAAATCTTTGCTTTGTGAAATCATCCCCCAAACTAACACAAGACTAAGTCTTATAACAAGTCCTTCCTAATATACCCCTGAGATGCCCCCTCAAACTTGTTCATGGTGTGAGGTCTCTTTCGCTGTATCAAATAGTGAACCCAACTTTGTTTGGTTAGACATGTCTGCTTTGCTCTATTTGAATTGTGGGCATAGTCGTGAGTGAGCAGGAGTTGATTTGGGCTGCATGTACACACATTCTCACAGGTGAGCTTAAGGACCTTGAAAATAGCTGGGCAGCCTCCACATAAGGGATCAGGAGTGTGGGGGAAATTTCCTTTGTACTCATACTCTTATAACCTATAGACAGGTCTCTCTGATCATTAGCCAACTTTTGTGACTGTTTTGGCCAACTAGAGTTCTTCACTCATTGAAACATACTCCTCTGTTTTAATGCCTGGGGAACATCTGAGTCAGGAAATGAGAGGCTTACCTTGATTCTTTTTCGAGCAAAATTGAGATAGGTTTCATTCTCCTTGTCTCCAATGTTAGAGAGTGCTATTGAATAACTATCAGATTGGTTGACTCGGGCATTCACACACCACTCCACATTGAATAGATGTGCAATGGTGTGAATTGCTAAAGAGGGCAGAGAAGAGAAACAAAGAGGGTGAAGAGTATGCACAAATTTATTGTAATCTAGCTCTCTAGCCACAACCTCTGACTCTGTGATAAGTCATAGGGAGACACACAGATGGCCTAGGTTGCTTATATATAAGAATTGGGGTTCTCTATAACCAGAGAGGCAAGGTAATTCTAGTGAGTAAGATTCTGCTTGTAGGATTATGGGAAAATCACTTAACCTTTCTGGTCTTGGTTTCCTCATTTATAACATGAAGATATTGAGCCAACAATACTAAAGATTCAAGTAAATTCTAAGATTATACAAATAGCCTCAGTCTCTGAGGGAATTAGATATGCTGTCATTGTTTCTCCCTAGTGTATCTGTGCTTGACCAAGAAAACTCTTACGTAGTGTACACTTAATGACTGGCCCATCCACCTAACTTTGGAATTACCTCTGGAGAGAGATAACAAGTGATTGAACTGATACAATTTGATGAATGAATCTCTTAAGAAAAAAATGAATTTCATTCTTTTTTCATAATCTCTTACAAAGGGCTTACTGGATATCAAATACTGTTATACTTGCTTTACAATTACTTAATCCTTACATTGACCCAATGATGTAAGTACAATTAATATCAGCTCATCTTATAGATGAGAAATCTAAGACATAGGTTACTTTAAAACCTTGCCCATGGTCACCTAGCCAAGAAGTAGCAGAGTTAGAAATGAAATCCAAGCAGTCAGGCACACAAGTCTATACTGTTAGCCAGAATACTATGCTGTTTCCTCTTTCTTTCTTTTCCTTTCTTTCTTTCCTTTTCCTTCCTTCCTTCCTTCCTTTCTTTTTTGGTGAAATCAGGGCCTTGTGTTTGCTAGGCAAGTGTGCCACCATTTAAACCACTCCACCAGCTCTTTAACAGGATTTTATTATACAGTTTTTTTAACTATTTCATTTGACATAACTCAAAAAGCCTTCATGATCTGGCAAGAGAAGAGAAACACAATTGAACACTGGTAAACTATGCTTATTTTACTCAGTTTAGGAATAAACTCTGCAGGTGCAGAGTAAAAGCCTGTTTTGTTCATTACCATGCATGTCTATTGTCTGGTACATGAATTATTTCTTAAGCAAAATCGTGGAGATTGGATTGGGTTCTAGATAGATCCCTTCTTGCACCAACACTCCCACCCTAATAATTATAAATATAACATAATATATATACACATATATCTATTTAAGCACACATATGATAATAAAGTAACAGTAATAATAATAATGAATGTGGTTAGCTGATAAGGGCTTTCTTAATGTATTCCCAATTTATGAGCTGATGACCCTGTAGGTTTAATGCAAAAAAAAATCCACTAAGTCTACATGTGCAAGCAAGTAATTTTGTAAATTGAATGAATAAAATTTGTTACATGAAGACTAGCAAACATTTTTATACTAAGAAGGATGGGAAATGTTGAGGATATCAAGACTGACTTTTCCCATGGGTATATTTTCATTTTATAGAAAGATTCTAAGATGAAAAAGCCTTAAAACTTAAAAGAATAAACTGTAATATCAAGTAACAGAAAGAATTGTAATTAGTTTTAAATGGAACTCATTTAAAAACTACAGCATATCTGACTCTACCATGATTGATTGATAAAGTCTGATCTCTTATACATAGGTATCCAAGAATAAAAGAGACTCTCTGATTCCAATTTTTCTTTGCAATTTCAAATGTCATAATAATCTTACCAGTGGGTATAGGTAAGAACTTTCTCAATGAAACCCCAGCAGCACAGCAACTAAGAGATAGCATAGATAAATGGGACCTCATAAAACTAAAAAGCTTCTGTTCATCAAAAGAAATGGTCTCTAAACTGAAGAGAACACCCACAGCATGGGAGAAAATATTTGCCAATTATACATCAGACAAAGGACTGATAACCAGAATATACAGGGAACTTAAAAAACTAAATTCTCCCAAAACTAATGAACCAATAAAGAAATGGGCATGTGAACTAAACAGAACTTTCTCAAAAGAAGAAATTCAAATGGCCAGAAAACACATGAAAAAATGCTCACCATCTCTAGCAATAAAGGAAATGCAAATTAAAACCACACTAAGATTCCACCTCACCCCTGTTAGAATAGCCATCATCAGCAACACCACCAACAACAGGTGTTGGCGAGGATGCGGGGAAAAAGGAACCCTCTTACACTGTTGGTGGGAATGTAGACTAGTACAACCACTCTGGAAAAAAATTTGGAGGCTACTTAAAAAGCTGGACATTGATCTACCATTTGATCCAGCAATACCACTCTTGGGGATATACCCAAAAGACTGTGACACAGGTTACTCCAGAGGCACCTGCACATCCATGTTTATTGCGGCACTATTCACAATAGCCAAGTTATGGAAACAGCCAAGATGCCCCAGCACTGACGAATGGATTAAGAAAATGTGGTATCTATACACAATGGAATTTTATGCAGCCATGAAGAAGAACGAAATGTTATCATTCGCTGGTAAATGGATGGAATTGGAGAACATCATTCTGAGTGAGGTTAGCCTGGCTCAAAAGACCAAAAATCGTATGTTCTCCCTCATATGTGGACATTAGATCAAGGGCAAACACAACAAGGGGATTGGACTATGAGCACATGATAAAAGCGAGAGCACACAAGGGAGGGGTGAGGATAGGTAAGACACCTAAAAAACTAGCTAGCATTTGTTGCCCTTAATGCAGAGAAACTAAAGCAGATACCTTAAAGCAACTGAGGCCAATAGGAAAGGGGGACCAGGAACTAGAGAAAAGGTTAGATCAAAAAGAATTAACCTAGAAGGTAACACCCACGCACAGGAAATCAATGTGAGTCAATGCCCTGTATAGCTATCCTTATCTCAACCAGCAAAACCCCTTGTTCCTTCCTATTATTGCTTATACTCTCTCTACAACAAAATTAGAGATAAGGGCAAAATAGTTTCTGCGGGGTATTGGGGGGGGAGCGGGAGGGGGTGGAGTGGGTGGTAAGGGAGGGGGTGGGGGCAGGGGGGAGAAATGAACCAAGCCTTGTATGCACATATGAATAATAAAAGAAAAATGAAAAAAAGAAAAAAAAATAATAATCTTACCAGTGTGAAGTGCTATCATCCATGCTACCATTTTATGAAAGGTAAGGTTCCTATCCAGTTGTCTTCTAATTCTTGTTGAGCAGCACTTTGGATTAAGGGGAAAAGAATGGAGCAGATATTGTTAATGAGGATTCCTATATGCTATCTCATTTAATTTTCACAACCACTCTACAAACAATATCTTTCTATCCATTTGATAGATGAAAAAACGAAGGCTTAGAGAGATGTCATCATCTTCCCCAGGTTAAACAGCCAGTAAGTGACATAACCAGCTTAACGAGTTTGTTTCCTGTTCTTATACCAGTGACATGAAGCCTCACCTGAAATCTATTGCCTAATTGTATAAAAATGTGAAATGAAATAGTCAGAAAACATATCTAATCATACAGTCTCTAGTTCCAATTAATTTACTTAATAAATGAGAGAAAGAAATTAATAAAGAGCAGGTTTGCCTTCACATACTTGGCAGGCTAGTGTGGACAAAGACAAGTGAACAGTTCTAGAAGTAAATAGCTCTCCAGAAACACTGTTCTAGTACACCTATACTATGGGAGTTCAGAGACATCGCAAGGAAGATCACTGACCATATAACAACAGCAAAAATGAAAGTAACTAACATTTACCAAAAGTTTGTGCAATCTGCTGCTTTAAGTGTTACATGCATTGATTCACTTAATTCTTACGTTAGTCCTTTTAGGGAGGTTCCATTATTATTGTTACATAACAGAAGAGGAAACAAGGCATAGAAAGATTATCCTGCCTTTGGCCACATAGCTAATAAGTGGCAGAGAGGAATTTAAACTCATCTGATAACAGACTCTCAGTATTCCAGTATTTCATAGCTTACCTGATTACCTTGACAATAAAAATTACCATTTGGTCTATATTTTAGTATATTTGTCTTATGTGATATGTTAGAGGATGTGAGTTTGAATCTGAATTCAGGCCGATGCTCATATCAGGACAAAAAAAAACCTGGTTAATTGTTGAAATAGAACTTTGTTTTCCTGAAAGTTGGCCACACTTTGAGAAGAGGAGGGTGAAGCACCAAAAATATCTTAGGTATTGTAAATATCTGGTTCTAAACATTGTATTCAATTTAAATAAGGGATTTATTTTTAATAAAATAGTTAGATTTTACAGAAAAATATAGGTGCGTGGAGAATTGTGTTTACTTCATTATCTCTCAGTTAGCTACACCTACTCAGGGCAATCTGTTCAAACCAATTCTTGGAATTACAGAAATACTAGTAAGGAAGATACTGAGGATTTCAGAAAGGAGAAAAAGAACGAGGCTTTGAGTGCCTTCTGTGTGCCAGGTAGTTGACCCATCATTTAGTGCAGTAAATATTACTGCCCTCATTATATATTACAAAATTAAAACTAAAATCTTACATTGGTTGGGTTCATGGCCTTTGCCATCAAATTAAATGAAAGGATATAGTCACTATTAGTCTAAGTGTCTAAAAACCTGAAACAAGAACTTAAACTTAAGTACTCTATCTAGAAGGTGGTCACAAAAAATGAGGTTAGGAGAATTAAGGTCTAGAACAGAAGAAAGCCAATAAAGATTGTATTACCATATCAGCTATCACTATCATAAACCAGTGGCCTCTGTCACAGCAGGGAATTCAGCAAGATTGTAGAACTTTTTCCAAGGGTTTTTTTTTTCACTTTTCAGTTTGTTTTTTGGTTTTTATCCAATAGGTGGGGAAACTTGGATGCTCATCTAACAATTTTCACTCATCATTGGAATTTGCGCTATGAGAGAGCTAAAAGAAAACTTGCAGTCAGAGAATGGTGCTTGCAGAAAGCAGCTGCTCTATGTATTGGAAATGGCAGTGCTTGGAGAATATGGTAGAAACCAAGAGCATCCGGTATGACTCAGTGTCCACCCGTGGAGCTGAGCATTGACTCAGGACCAAAAAGAAGGGTTTTCTGTATGAAATATAATTTATTTTACATTTGTAAAAAACTGACTATCCTTGTTTTCTTATGTAGCTTCAATGTCTTTTATCTTTATTTTACAATATCACTGAAAGTTGTTTTACTACTTTGTATCCTTTATAGATTTAAGGAAATATCTTTTCCCATTTCCCAACTCCTATGTTCCTCTATAGTTTCTAAGTGATTTTGTTACTCATATAGTTCTTGTGATTTTTACTGATACAGCAAAAGTGATTTTGCAGAGGAAAAGTCCCAAATTGACTTTAAGAGGGAGATTATGTGGGTGGGCCTGACCCAATCACATAAACTCTTTAAGTATGGGTCCAGATGTCTGAAATGGAGGCAGTCAGAGATTGGAAGCATAAAAAAGGCTTTGATGTGCTATTGATGGTTTAAAGATGGAGGCAGACACATGAAGGGAATGAAGGGAGCTCTAGGATCTGAGAGTGACCCTAGGATGACTGGAAGCAAGAAAACAGGGACCTAAGACCTACAACTGCATTGGACTGAATTCTGCCAAGAAGGAGGAGTTTGGGAGAGGGTTTTTGCTTTTTTTGCAGTGCTGGGGATAGAACCCAGGGCCTTGTGCATGCTAGGCAAGTGCTCTACCACTGAGCTACACCCTAGCCCTTTGGAAAAGGATTTTCATCCGGAGTTTCAAGATGAGAATTTAGCCCAATGGATACCTTGATTTTAGCTTCATGACCCCCTGAGCGGAGAAGCCAGCCACAGAGAGCTGGACTTCTGACTTAACACACCGTAAATTCATAAATGGAGGTTGCTTTAAGCCACTGAAGTTGTGGTAATTTGTTACACAGTAATAGATAACTGATACAATCCTTGCTGGAGTGGTAGAACTAGTGGATTGGAATAATAAAAACCAGAAAATGGAAATTAGTAGGGTTGGAAAGAATAACTGAATTACATTTGAGAGCAAGTTTTGTCTTCAGACATACCTGTCAGGTCCTACCCTACCACCTAGCTGTGTGATATTGAATAATGGACTCTATCTTCAGTTTCCCCACCTGTCTAACCATTGTAGTTCTTCCCTCATAGGCTGGTTGCATAGATTCATTCAGAGGTATTTATTAAGAATGCGATATATCTTTGCAAGTAAATGGATGGAACTGGAGAACATCATTCTGAGCAAGGTTAGCCAGACTCAGAAGACCAAAAATCGTATGTTCTCCCTCATATGTGGTCTTTAGATCTAGGGCAAATACAGCAATGTTGTAGGACTTGGGTTACATGACAAGGGGAGAACATATACAGGAGGTATAGGAATAGGTAGAAAACCCAAAACATGAAAGCATTTGATGTCCCCACTCCAGAGGAATTAATACAGAAACCTTAAAGCGACAGAGGTCAACACAAGAAGGGGATCAGGAACCAGTGTAAAGATCAGTTAGAGATGAGTCAACCTGGGTTGTAACACATTTGTACATGAAAGCAATGCTAGGAATCTCTATATATAGCTGTTCTTATCTCAACTAGCAAAAATGCTATGTCTTTCTTATTATTGCTTATTTCTACTCTTCAACGGAACTGGAGAAAAGTGCAGAACAGGTTCTGCCTGGAAGGGAGGGGGGATGGGGAAAGAGGGTGGGGGGTGGGGGCGGAGGGAGAAATGACCCAAACAATGTATGCACATGTGAATAAATGAATAATAAAAAAAGAATATGATATATCATTGTTTAACTTTTCAGCTGTTATGAGATGTTTCCCCAGCTAGAGAGTAATCCTCTTATATGAAGATCAGTATGGTATGTACTTTTTAAAATCCTTTAATAATTATTTGATGGCACAAATATTTTTACATTTTCATGCCCTAGAATATAAGATAATTACCCCAAACCTACAGAGACGTGTTTATCCCCATATCTACATTTGCCATACTGTTTTATTTTCCACTTCCCAACAAATCCTTTTGGGGAATTTATTAGCTCCTGCATGATGAATTTGAAGAGAAAGAATGCAGTTTTGTTGTGGTCCCTACACAGTCTCCATCATCCTATCAGTTAATTTTTTTGTGGGGGGAGGTAATTGGGTTTGAACTCAGGGTCTTATGATTGCTAGGCAGGTACTCTACCACTTTAATCATGCCCCCAGCCCATCTATAGTTTTATTTTTATCTTTATCATCAACATAGATGATCAAAGATGTGAAGCAATAGATGTGGATGCCCCTTAACATCTTTTGCCACAAACTTTTAGAGAAAAATAAATGGACTATCAGAACAAAGGTAAGATATGATTGGGAAATACAATGTCCATTAGCAATACTCTTTTATTTTAATAAGTAATTTTTAAAAAGCTTATTGATGTAAAAAAAAATGAGTTCCACCAGAGTGCCAATGCTTCATTTTCCCAGTTACCCTCTTCATTGTGGCGAGGAATTGGTAAACAAACCCAAAGGGAAGCCACAAGTCATGCCACTACTGGGATTTCAAGAAAATGATCTTCTTACCACTTCCTGAAAAGGGGGCAAAATGACTGGTTGGTAGAGTAGGAAGGAAGGGTTTTTACTGCCTTTGATTGCTCAGGACCTTTTTGTTCCTCCTCACCATATAGATACCATTTCTGTGCTCTGAGTCACTTCTGAATTATTGCCAGCCACCTACCGATTACCCAAGCTGTCATCATGCTCCATTAGCTTCCTCACTGAACTACCTCTTTGCTTTCTACCATTGAATTCAAAAGGGAAGTTTCTCTGTCACTGTCACCAAGAACCTTGCCCAATTTCAATAAACAATCATTCTAATGCAAGGGCAATTGTTGAGACACCTTGACAAATTTCTATGCTCTATTGAAATAGTAAATTTCAACAAAATAAGAAGTGGAACTAAAAAGAAGTGTATGTTTCATGGGGTGTAGCATGAACTTCTGTAGCTCTATTTTATGTACATTTGATCTCACCACATGTGTTGTTCATGTGTCTGAATTAAATATTCATATTCAATTTGGGAGACAGGGCAAAGACAAGCCATCCACAGAACTCTGGCAAAGGAACTGACGGTAATGTTCAGACCTGTTAGTAGTAGAATATGTGAAGAATATGAATAACACAACTTTATTTGCATAGCTCTCTTCCTAACTTTGAAATCCCAAGTTTATTCTCTGTCTCATTCATAAGACTCTAAGCTCCTTAAACTGTAGCCAATCCATCCTTACACTTACTGGCCATGTGTCCCCAGTGCTTAGCACATTCATGGCATTCAACAAATATTTATTGGCTGAAAATTCACTAATTAACAGACTCAATCAGTTAGTACACTTTTACTAAGGGTATATTCTCTCCTCTCCTCCTCTCCTCCTCTCCTCTCTTCCTCTCCTCTCCTCCTCTCCTCTCCTCTCCTCTCCTCTCCTTTCCTCTCCTTTCTTCTCCTCTCCTCTGTCTCTCTTTCTCTCTCCTCTCTCTCTCTCTAATGCTAGGAATAGAACTCAAGGCCTTCTGCATGCTAGGCAAATGCTAGCCCACCCCTACCTAGAATTGCATATTTATCTTTATATTTGTATTATTTGACCTGTTTCCCAGGGTTAAAAAAAGAACAAAAAACCTATGAAACAGAAAGCTCAAGGGACTCACGCGAGGCAGCCGCATGGTTGGACATAGAGCTACATCAAGGTTCCCTGACTCCCAGACTATATAAGGTAACAAATAAGACCTCTAAGACCTCACCCTCTACTCTTCCTGTTTCTTTCTGACCTTAAGACTAGGACTGTCACACGCTTAGAAATTCATTTCTACATGTCAAGATGGGGTTACTAAGGGTCCCTCAGGAACATCTTTATGCTGAGCCCTGCTCTTTCTCCATGAGAGTGGGGAACAACCCTGGAGCTTTCTTTTTCCACATAACCAGAAGAATTCCAACCTCTAGAATCTGAACAGAAGTTCTATGCCTGTTTAATTCACACAGTGTCCCAATCACAAGTGTCTGAATTACAACATTCTTGTCATTTCTAGCTTAGGTTGTTTGGCAGGTTTGAACACTCATATGTATGATGGATCTCTAAGACCAGAACACAGCAACAGGACAGTTTCAAGAAGTTTGGATAGCACAATGACCTGGGTTTGAATTCCAATGCTACCATTTACTCTTGTTCCCTCCTCAGTCACTTTCATGCAGATTTCATAGGGTGAGTTCCATAGTGCTTCAATGAGCAGCAGCTATTATGAATTCTCACATTAGTCAGAGGACACTCACTCAATTTAATCCCAATTGGAAAAGCTGTTTCATGTGCCAAGTTCACATTTCGGGTTGGGAATCTTGGAAGGAAGGAGATGCCCTGTATTGTTGCTGGCTGTTAGTTTTTAAAAATATATTCATTTATATAAAATCTGTCTGGTTAGCTGAGCTTCCCTGCAATTTGGAAAACAGCCTCATTTTACGCCCGCCTTTAGTGAATCTCGTGGTGATCTTTGTTCCAGAGCCACAGAAGCCCAAACGCTGCTGTTACAACATGTCCTGCTCATGAGATGTGGGAGGTCAAAGGTAGTGCAATTTGAGGTTGTGGGGTAACAAGGATTTCTTAACTGACCATCCTGGTGAAAACACTGCCTGTTTCTCAGGCCTTACTTCCTCTAAACAGAAAGCATTTAAATGGGGGTAGAGAAAATAAAAAAGAATTGTGTCTCCAAAAACCAAAAAGCTACAATGCACGGACTTCATTTAGCAAATGTTCAGTGGACACCTGTGCTATATCTAAAATATTACTTTAGGCAAGGTGCCAATGGCTCACGCTTGTAATCCTAGCTACTTGGGAGGCTGAGATCAGGAGGATCATGGTTGAAGGCAAGCCTGGTCAACTACATTGTTCATGAGACCTCTATCTCCAAAATAACCAGAGGAAAATGGATTCGAAGGTGTAGCTTAAGTGTGAAGCCCTGTGTTCAAACCCTAGTCCCACCAAAAAAAAAAAAAGGTACTTTAGGCTAGGAACAGTGGCTTATGCCTATAATTGCAGCTACTCAGGAGGCCAAGAAGGTAAGATGAAAGGTTGAGGACAGCCCAAGCAAAAAGTTCATGAGACTTCATCTCAACCAATAAAGCTGGGTGTAGTGGCACACATCTGTCGTCCTAGTTAAAAAGGAAGATCACAGTCCAGGCTGGTCTGGCAAAAACGTGAGACCGTATCTGAAAAGTAACTAACACAAAAAGGGCCAGCAGTGTGGCTCAAGTGGTAAAGCACCTGCCTAGAAAGCACAAGGTGCTGAATTCAAATTCTAGTACCACCAAATTTGTTTTTAAAAAGTGATACTTTACAGTAAGTAGCTCAGCAGTCAAACTTTTAATCTAGTGGAATTCCATTTCTATGTTTTCATAGATTGAAGAAGATATTTGAAAATCCTTAAAATCAATGTTTAATACCAAGTGCTGTTGTTAATTTTGGTTGTTTTGGCTGTCAATTTTCAAGACAACATTGTGCTCAATAGAGTTCATGTGATGGCCGTGTATCACAGTTTTTCCAGAGGAAAGTCATGACTCTTTCTGGAGTATCTTGTATGTTTGCCAGCATTCTTCTTTTGTTTTTTGTTTATTTTGTTGTTCTGCTGAAGTAAATGTGTTAGTTATTTCTGCCGATTGTTTCTTTATTTGCAGTGCTGGGGATGGAACTCGGGGCCTCCTCCTTGTTAAACATGTGCTTTGCTACTGAGCAACTCTTACTTTAAAATCAGAGTGCAATTTTGACAGTAGGTTTAGGGTGAACTGATATTTTGTAAAGAGTTAGCAAGTGCAAGATAAAAATTTAATTGTAACCTATGAATCCTATATTATTAAATTGAGTGTTGCATGTTAAGAAACGTTCTTCTTTGGGCTAGTGTAAATTGAGGGCGACTAGGAAAAATGAGGTAGACTATAAGGCAAGCTATACTTGTTATTGACAGGTAAGTTCACTTTCCTTCTCCCTATTCTGTGATTGACAAATGAACTATTAACTCTTCAGATATGGATTGAAGGTTCTAGTTTTCCAGAAAGATCCTAGCTTTCTTTCCAGTCTTGTCTCAGACATGAGTTCTATTCAATGCCTATAAAAGTAGTTAGCTTGCTGCTTTCTTCCATAAATGATTTCTATTTAATAAGCATTTTAAAAGCTCATTAACATAAACATTCTATTAAAAGGAAAAACAGAGATTGCTAGTCACTAATGAGCTAGTGGAATGGGTTTGTCCAGGACAGTGATCTCAGCTACTCTCTTTTGTGCGATCAGGAATAGCAAAAATAAAATCCAAAGCAAAGGCACAAGTCTTGCTGATATTGGGTTTTCAAGACTGGTTATATAGCAACAGCCCTCACACCAAGCTAACTATGCTGTCAGCATTGTTTTGAGTTATACCTTGAACCTGCCCAGTTCCGTGCATTGTTTCTATGTTTTTCCCTATTTGGTGAACACTCCATTCCTCGTTCTCCAAGTCACGTGGTACCTGCACGTTGCCACTGCCATTCTCCGTGTACCAAATGTCCAGAGCAGCTTCACCCATAACAGCAAAAAAGGACACAACCCAAATATCCATCCACTAGTAAGTGAATAAGTATTTTTTAAATAGAACATGATACAGAGCAATACAGAAATACTCTATTTCTTGTTTTCAGAAATATTTCTTCAACTTTTGCCCATGCCATAATCTCCATGTTGAATGCCTTTCTCATTTACACATCTTAGTGCCTATTTATCCTTATATGCCACCTTCTGTCAGAAGTCTTTTCTCATTCTCTGCTCACCTAATATTTCTCTCTCTTTGATCTCCCATAGTTCTTTATTTGTAATGCTCTGTGGGGCCTGTCACATTTTGCTTTGTATCAGAGTTATTTGAGTATGTGTGCAGATTGTAAGTTCCTTGACTTTCATCTTCGTATAAAACTAATGCTAAGAAATTTGTACACCACCTTATAGTTACAGACGTTCTTCCTTTTCAACTCTTTTTTTGTCTTACAACATAATATATTTATGGACTCACTAAGGTGTTGAAGAGAGGGTGAAAGAACCCCCTGGACTTTTAGAAAGCTCTGTTTTCCTCAATTCCATGCAGACAACAATTCTCAGCCACATTTCATTACAGTGTGACACTTTAAACATTGGTTCCATCTGCTTGGAATATTATACAGAAACAATATTTCTCTGAATTAAAGTTTTTTTTAATAACTCTGACTGATTAATTTTCAAATGTCACACCAGTCTCACAAAGCCCTGTTTATATACATGTGTTTTATGGGTGTGTGTGTCTGTATGTATGCACATGGACAAATGCATGCTTACTTCATTACTGTTGTTAAGATACAGTTTAGATTATTGGTCACACTTTTTTGATATACACACATACACACACACACACACACACACACACATATATATATATATATATATGTAATTTTGGTGGCACTGGGGTTTGAACTCAGGGTGTCACGCTTGCTAGGCAGGCAGGTGCATTACCACTTGAGCCAGTCTGCCAACCCTGACCCCTTTTTTTTTCTTTTTTTGATACAAGGTTTCACTCTGTAGCCCAGGGTGGCCTCAAACTCACAATCCTCCTGCCTCTGCCTTCCAAGTGCTGGGATTACAGGTATGAATTACCACTCCCAGCATTGAGTAGTTGTTTTTTAAATTTTCTCTTTCACGTTAAATGGTTGCCCCAGGGTGCTCCCTCCACAAACAGAATAGAAAAGAAGAGAAATGTGCAGAATAGGGCATGGCTTGGCTCATGAATACTCTACCATTGGTAAGAAATGGCATTGTGCATGGTGGCTTTGAGAATTTGAGGAACTGTCAATGTTTGCTCTTACCGCACTGGAGCCTCTGAGGAAAGACAGCAGATTCCGACAGACTGGCAACAGAATCAGCATGCAGTTGAAGTTCAGGCAGGCTGCAGGGGCCCTGGCCAGGGCCAGCGCTGACTACAAGAGGCACAATAGGGAGCAGAGTGACTCCAGGTGAGCACAGAATGTCCCCATTCCCATTCCCCCAGATTCCCAGCATGAGGCCACACACCAAACCCTCCAAGACATCTAGAAGGGGCTTTCTTTTAGGGCCCGCTGGGACCCTTTGTTCTAGTCTGAAACTGGCCCTTTTACCCAACCCCAAATTTCATTATGAAAAATTTCAAACATGATGAGAAGTGGAAAGAAATTTATTTTGAATACACACACATGTATTCACCTTCCAGAGTCTATCTTTTCATTTTATTATGCTAGCTTTACCACACATCTATGTCGCCATCTCACTACCCATTCATTAACACATCTTATATTTTTTGGTGCATTTAAAGTCAGTTGCAGACATTAGTTCACTTCCTCTTAAATATTTAAGCATGCATACCATTAACTTGAGTTCAGTATCAAAGTTGAACCTTTTCAAGATTTTTAAGCAAGGTTTTCTTAGCACTTAGACTGACCTTGACAATCACTTAAGTTGGTGTAGTGTAATGCTTTGGCATTATAACTATTAGCTTTGTAATGTCTAAAGAAGTTGCATATTATGGAGAAGCTGCATATTATCCATGTGAATAAGTTAACAACAATTACAATAGTGTAATATAATTATGGTTTTTTGTATGCATATGATTTATAACATATAACTAAATACAAGCAATTAATTCATAGTTAGAGCACAATATAATAAATGATGTTCTGGAGCAGCTGCAATTGTAATTACTTTCACTTGTGATGAGGAGTTCTGACAGTTTCAGGAAACTGAGATTACTAAAGAGCCCAAGGAAATTCAAGGGCTGCGACTCAGCTGGACTACGAACAGATGCAGATATGGCACTTGAGCAAGGTTTTCAAAGTTTCCAGATGTCAAGAGACGTGGATCATCTGAAGATCATTTCATAACATGTCACTAGGAGCAGGGCTCTCCATGCACAAAAATGGTAGGAATCAGATAACTTAGAAAATAAGGAAATCTCACTTGTGCCACCCCTGGATGGATGGCTTCAATCTGATCTTTCATTCCACAGGTTTCTCCTTTAAGCTGAACAATGGCACATGGTTTGGGGGGAGGAAAGACACGCTGCTGGGACCCTCTGCCATACTTTTGTTGGCTCACAGTGGCAGGCCTTAAGAGACTGTTAAGGAATTTGCAATGAAGAGAATGAGGTTGATGGTGCTGTTGGGTTGGTCAGAGTATTTATTTAAAATATTAAAGGGAAGAAGAACTCAAATGTCTGACTAGAAATGTGAGCTGGTCAATATTGCATGAAGAAGAAGTTACACTTACCCCAAGAAGTTTTCGAGTGTAAAAGTACTTTAGTGTATCATCATAAATATGGTAGTACCAGGCAAAGAGGAAGACATTCATCCCCAGCCACATCAGCTATAAAAACAGAAAGAGCTGTGTGAAGTTTTCCCCTCTCAATGGGTAGATTCTACATGAGATTAGACTCAGATGAAGGCCAGGACTTCCCCAAGTACAGCCTTTGACAAAGGTGGTTACAAAGCTGGGTGCAAGCAGCTTAGAGCCAGCTGTTTCCTGCAACAGTGTCACTGTATTTTTCTGTAATTAACCTTCCCACCCTATATTATTCTGCATGGTTGTTTTACTGCATGGCCGGCATATCAAATTATGATCAGGCTGTTTCCTCTCTTTTCTTTTTTCTCCTCTTTTCTTCTTAACCTTAGAGAGATAGATAATAGTGACTGACTAGCAAAACAAGAGGGGAAGGGAATATGTTACTATTACTGTCCCCTACCAGTGGAGCATTGCATTCTGCTTTCACAGGAACCGGTCATCTTCCAGTACCACCCACCTACCCACCCCAGCTGGAGGGAGGCTCATCCGCTAAAATGGCAAGCCGCCCATTCTACTTGGTCAGTTTTCCTTAACTTTAAAGAAAAATAGCATAAACAAAGGGGTACAAGGCATGGAATTTAAAAACACAGGAAACTTTCAAGATTGTGACATCTCATTTCATCCCAAGAATGAATTTATCAAGTGGTGACACTGTCCAGTCTACCTTTGGCTCCATAGCAATCTTTACTTAAATATTCAATTACTAGCTACTCAGGAGGCAGAGATCAGAAGGATTGTGGTTTGAAGCCAGTCAGGGCAAATAGTTCATGAGACCCCCATCTCAAAGAAATCCATCACAAAAATAAGGCTGGTGGAGTGGCTCAAGGTGCAGGCCCTGAGCCTAGTCATTATTAATGTTAGCTATTAAATGCCCACACATGCTTGAGAGCAGTGCCCCTTTGCAAAGAAGGTACTAAAGCAACTTCTCCATTTCTTGACCTTGCATTCTTCCCAAGAGACTTTCTAAGCTGTGTCTTCACTTTCGAGTATATGCGTGTATAATTTAAAAGGAAATCATTTCCTGGGGAAAATTGTGGTGAGAACTAAAAGTATAACTCAATTTGCTTTGTATAGGAGTGATCTATTCTCAAAATGGCAATAAGAAATCAAGTTTACAGTTTCAAATTATCAGATTTCTTCTATATTGCATTAGAATGTTGGTTTTATGTAAAATATGTTTTTGATAACAAAATATTTGGTGTTTTAATTTTATTTGTACCACTAATTTCTGTCTCTAAAACTCAAAGTTCCCATGTACTCCATGATAAATTCTTACAAAAGTTCCATTTATTAAGTGTTTTTTTAAACATCTTCCATTGGCTATTTGGAAAAGCTATTTTAGAAATCACATTTCTTTCTACCAAATGTGTTCATGATTGCTTCACTGAGATCACCATCTTAAGAGCATAGTTATATTCTTTATGTGAAAAAGCACAGAAAGCAATGTCGAGCTGAAAATTAGTCATAACTTTACTTATAAAAATTGTTTCTCTAAAGAGATTATTTTGATATATATAATTACATATTATATATGCATGCACATACTATATATGTATGAGTCTAGATAACTTATTTCAATTCTTTTCTCTTTTGATTTTTGTAAACCTCATAAACATCTCAAGGTTAGACCTCAGAGAAAGAGCCTCCTTGTTTTTAAAAAGAAATTTCACAACTTGGATTGTTTTTGGTGTCATTACTGAAATAAAGTCAACTTCTCTTACATGAGTCAGTTTGTATTTGATATTTCGAAAATCATACAAGTTTTTTTGGTGTGGGCTGTACTGGGGCTTGAACTCAAGGCCTATACTCCACCAGCCCTGCTTTGTGATGGGTTCTTTCGAGATAGGGTCTTGTGAACTATTTGCCCGAGGTGACTTCGAACTACAATCCTCCTGATCTCTGCCTCCTGAGTAGCTAGGATTACAGGCATGAGCCACCAGCTCCCGGCCTTATATGAGCTTTAATTGGTCATTTTAAGTAGTTTATACATATGAAGAGTAGAGAAATTTGCTTCTCAGTAATTAATGAGCAGCTTATAATTAGGGATCATTAGCATGAAATGCCTTTTACTCTATCTGTGAAATGTTGACTTAGTACTCCTAGAAACTCAGAAATAAACTAGGAGAAATGAGCACCTCAGATGCATTTTTTTCCATCAAGGAACTTGTAAGAATAAACTCAGTCTGCTTACAAATAGATGGTTTTTCACCTGGTAAATGAATTTCTCAAACAAACAACAAAAAACCCCTCTCTTCTATTTTCACTTCCAAGTGAACCCAAACATGTCAAAGAATTCATAATTTCTCTGCTCTTGGTACTTACGATGACAAAGATGGACAGCCCTTCATTCACAGCCCAGTTCCCCATGGTGGCAGAGGTTCAATGTGTTGTGCCTGCCTTTCTTTTATACTGTGCTTCTTCCACGAGGAAATGAAAGCAGCAGTGTGGGGCAATATGTTTCCCTTTCTATTATCTGAAGTTAAGTAATCATTGGTCAACTGAAAAGCCTGTTTCCATAATAAACTTAAATCTTTAAACCACAAAATCTATGGAAAAAAGCCTATAATGATCCAATCACAACTAAATAAGTAGATTGGAAAATGAAACCAATTTCTACAGAGAGACAACAAGTGAAGTTCAAGGGATGTATTTCACTCAGTGAAACATTTTTTTACTAACCAACTTTTACTAACATTTTTTTACTGTCTGCCTGAAATTTTCAAGTCACTCAATTAGCCATGTCTTGTTGCTAGGTAAAACATATTAAACAGGTCTGATACCTTCTGACAGGCTTTTATAGTGGTGTTTATATCCTCATTGAGAAAAGTAGCAAGAATGTTGGTTGATATTTATAGGATACTTACTGTATGCCAATTTTATATGCTATATATATGTGTGTGTCTATATACACATGTCTGTGAGTTGGAATACATATGTATATAAATACATGTGCGTATACACACACACGCACACACACACACACACACACACCAATTCTTTTGATTCTCACAACCTACTATAAAGTAGGTTCTAGTCTTATGATTACATTTGTAGATGAGGAAACTGAGACTCGTAGTAATCATGCTACTTGGCCATAGTCACAGAACCAGAGAATAATGGAGTTGGGATTTGAAACCCAAATGATATGTCTCCAAAATCCATTCTTTTATCTGTGATACCAGAAACAAAAGCCTGGCTATGCCATCCCCACCCTAAATCAACTGCATACAAAGCACAAGTGTTCAGATGACAATCATGTTCCTAGAAAGATATGACATCCTCTATGTTAAGTGGGTAAACACGGTCAGATTAATGTCAGATATGCTAAGTGCCAAACCTAGGTGTAGCATTCCTCCCACCAGCTGCTACCAGTCTTTGAAACATGGGAGATAGGTGGGTAGGAAGGTAACCCGACTGTGAGATCAAAGAATAAAAGAGAAGAGCTATAAACTCTTTTGGCTGCATAAACTACATGGATCGGCCTCTGGAATTGTGACATATGGTAAAGTAGTATGGTTTTTCACTTCACAATATTCAAGGAAAGGTACTCAGTTCTGACCTTCAGGGCTCTTAGAGTATGTATAACCCACTATAACCCACATAAAGGAAAGTTGACCTCCTCCTGGTTCCCTTTTCCAAAGACTCAAATTTAGAGAAACACAGACAATCAGAACATGTTCAAGTAATGTGCTTTTTTATGCTCTGATATTTTCCCATCCTTTCTTTGCCCTACTGTGTTTCAGAGAGAGTATTTGCCAGCCTTCTTGCCCCCTAGCTTCTAGTCTGCTTAGCTAAACTGGAGGATGAGAGGGGGAGAAGCAGAAGTTTTTCTTTCCCTGTTTCTTTTTTTTTGCGACACTGGGATTTGAACTCAGGGCCTAACCTTCAGCCACTCCACCAGCCCTTTTTCTTGTGATAGGTTTTTTCAAGATAGGGTCTCACAATCTATTTGCCCAGGCTGGCTTCAAACTGCGATCCTCCTGATCTCTGCCTCCTGAGTAGCTAGGATGACAGGTGTGAGCCACAAGCACTTGGCTCCCCTGGCTTTTTGTTTCAAGTGACATCCACACCGTGGGTGCATCTCCACTGAGGCTCCATCTCCTAACAGTCAGCCCTCCCTCAGTGTCATGAGCTCCTATTGACCAACACCACTGGAGTTCCAAATCTTTCCAGATGGCCTGTGCTGCTGAGCTGGAGTTACACCACCTCTTCTTCCCAGCTCTCCTCTAACTCTGAGGGTGGTGACCACTTCCTGTAGTTGTTCATCCTTATGCTTTCCTCTGCACTCCCTGTTGGGGTTCTCCATTTTTCTATCACCCATGCAACAATTTCCTGGTATGAAATTCCCTCTGTTGAAATATAGTGGTTTCCATTTTTCTAATTGGACTTTGAAACAAAAAGTAATTCAGATGTGTACTCGTCTGTCATGTAATTAAAGAAGTGAGGTATATATGCAAACAGGAATAAAACCTCTTAAAAACCTGTTCTCTTTCCACATCTCTGCTACTGTCAAGCTCCATTTCAGGGATAACTGCCACTCTGTCGAGCTCTTTGAAACTCAACCAAGTGTTCTCTACTCCTCCCCTCTGTTCTCTTTCCCCAGCTAATGGCTTATCTCCCTTATCCTATCTAAATCTTCAAGTCTTTCTACAGTTTTTCATTTACCTCCTCAAGCCTGTACTCTGCTGAGGAGGTAATGAGAAGAGGACCATCAATGTTCATACACTAGGAAATTACGTTTGCTGTTTCGTATAAGCCTATTTCTTGAACATTTTCCCACTCCTTTTCCTTACCTCTATAATTTCAGAAGACAAATATAAAAAAGAAACAATTTTCCATGGTTAATTGACCATTCCCTCCTATTGTTTTTTTTTTTAATCCTCTAGGAAAGGGAGAGTAGTGAATTCTTGAGAGACCTAAGAACCTCAATCAGTTTCACAGCTGGAAGAAGAGAGCTCAGTTGCAATGAAGAGTAAAACCTTTCTTCTGTGGAAAGCAACTTCCCCTGTGAGAGCACTATTTAAGCAAACTGCGATGTGCACTGCTCCTTGACAGACAGACGGAAAGGCTGATAAAAGAGCAACCGGGTGGGTTGAGCGGCATTGAGTAGACTGGAGAATGAAGAAAGTTGAACCTCTATGCCAATCTCATAGGTAACAATGGCCAACAACTTCCATTTCTAACTGAATCTTAGACACTCTGACTGAGCAAAAAGACAGAGAGGAGAAGCTAGCAAAGTTCCAAGGAATTCCCTGACTTTGCATCCTGAGTGATAGCTCAAATGGAAAGTTAGGTTCCTAATTATTCCAAGATGGGAAATTGTTGAAGAAAGGGAGATGTGTTACTATACCATGATTCCCAGTGAGTTTTGCTCTTGATGCTGGTGAAAAGTAGATTTCTGTTCCTTTTTTGCTCTGCCATAATTCTGTTCTTTCCAGAACTGTTGTGTTTGGCTCTGTCTGCATCCATGGGCTGTGTGGCCCCACATTCCTTGTGTAAGGATGACTAGTGAGAAGGCTTCATCCCCCTGGATACAGTGATTGTCCTAGGTATGGGCCCTTGAACCAAACAAGACCAAATCATTTTTTTTTGCATTGGGTGGGGAAGTTGTTATGGACTCCAGAGAAGAGAAGGTCAAGGTTTTCTCTCTTTGCAATGATGTATGCTGGGTGCTGCCATAGGCCACCTTTTCTACCTTGTGCTAAAAAACTGCATAAGAATTATGTCAGCATAAACAAAACCAGAATCAGTAAATAAGTAAGGATGGGAGGTTAATGACAAAAATGATGACAATGTTAGAATTATTGAGTTCCATTTGCCTGAGACAACTGGACATCTCAGTTATCCTTTCAGATTGGTTTTCCTGGGAAGCAGGAGTTTTATTAGGGACTGTTCTTGGAGGCAAATACTGGTAGAAGGGAAGAAAAGATAAGAAAGCAGGAGTGGGCTGAAGGAGAAATTCAATTATCATGTGGTCAGCAGTCTTGTGGGGAGACCTGAAGCTTGGAATGACCCTGAGCAACTTTAGGAAAGATGCCCCATATTTTCCTCCATATTTATAGATCTATCTTTACTCTTTTTTCTTTTTTGGTGGGACTGGGGTTTGAACTCAGGGCTTTGCACCTGCAAAGTAGGCACTCCACTGTTTGAGCCATGCCTCCAGCCCATACCTTTACTCTTAAGCACTTCTTCTGTATATGATGTGAGGTAAGAATCCAAGTTCAACAACCTGTTTTGCTTTCAACTCTGGGAGGACAAATTACACATTTTCTAGACTCCTCAGGTGGCAGCATTCTCTATTAGTCTATCTTTTCCCCAATGTTTTATTTTTTTGAGATGGGGTCTCACTGAATAGTCCAAGCTGTCTTCAAACTCATTATGTAGTCCAAGATGGCCTCAAATTTGAGATTCTCCTACCCAATCCCCTGAAGTGCTGGAATCACACCTGTTTTGGTGGGGGGTTGGTAGGACTGGGGTTTGAACTCAGGGCTTGCTAGGGAAGTGCTTTACTGTTTGAGCCAAATCTCTAGCCCATTTTGCTCTGGTTATTTTGAGGAGATGGGATCTTGTGAATTATTTGCCTAGTCTGGCTTCAAACTGTGTCTGGCTCATTTGCCTTGTTATGTGTATCTTGTATTTTTGTCCTCAACTGTTTGAGAGTACATGATATGTAAATACTTCTCTGTGCATTTCCTAGGATTAAGTATGGACTCTTAAGCAACTGGTTATCAACTTCAGAAAAGTTAACATGACCACAATTATTTTGTCTTATTGGCTGCCAGTTCTTTTTTTGCAATAAGCCACCTACAAGGAAGCATTTTACCATGATGAAGATCTCTCTCTCTCTCTCTCTCTCTCTCTCTCTACCCCGCTTCCTCCCTCTCCCTCTCAGCTGACCTAAAATTCACAGTTCTCCTGCCTCAGACTCCTGAGTTGTGAGATTACAGATATGTTTGACAATGTCCAGCAAAGATGGTTCTCTTCACTGAGATGATCCTTGCCCATGTTGCCAGCAAGAGAATAAGTCCTTCATTCCTTTTTTTTTTAAACTCAGGGCCTCATACTTGCTAGGCAGACACTCTACTCCTTGAGCCATGACCCCAGCCCTTTTTTGCTTTAGTTATTTTTTGGATAAGGTCTCACCTTTTTGCCCAGGTCTAGCATTAGACCATAATCCCTCCTACCTAAGTCTTCCATGCAGGTTGGATTAAAGACATGCATCACCATACCCAGCTTATTTGTTGGGATGGGGTTTCACTATCTTTGGGTTTCATGGTTGACCTGGAATCACAATGCTCTACATCTCCTCCTCCTAAATAGATGGGATTACAGGCATGTACCATCAGGCCTGGCCTAGTCCTTCATTCATGAAGTTGAACTTGGTGGCCACATCATAG